GTTATCAATTAAAAGAGCCTCTAGATGTGATCATTTCCAATTATTAATAACTTAATAACTATCGCGATTTTTGCAAAATGATACATGACTTTTCTTCTCAGTTTGATCCAATTAATCTTCATAATCTTTCCTTTCCAAAAGATCTCAGACACCCCATATAATTAAAGATAAAATTAAATATATTATTATATACAGGGTCCCAAAGTAACGGACCACCCTATAACTAGCCTAATAACTCTTCACAGTATTGAAGTTTCAAGGAAAATGATCTGAACAAAAGTTGTAGGGATTTAAGTGAGTTACCTTATGATGACCTTGACTTTGGCCTTCACCTCTATTTTCAAGGTCAACTTGCGTTTTTTAAATGGGAACTCTTATTTTTTATTACACTGTTTTCTAGTGTAATAAAAAATAAGGGTTCCCATTTAAAAAACGCAAGTTGACCTTCAAATGACCTTGAAAATAGAGGTCAAGGTCAAAGACAATGTCATCATAAGGTAATTCACTTAAAATCCCTACAACTTTTATTCAGATCGTTTTTCTTTAAACTTTAATACTGAAGAGTTATTAGGGTAGTCCGTTACTTTTGGGACACCCTGTATACAGGATGAGAGACATGCTACCTAAAACATGCTACTTGGATAACTTTGAAAATATGCAAGATAGAAAGAAAATGTTAAATACACAAGTTGTAGAGTTTTAAGTGACGCATTACACAGCAATATCAGTATGACTTTGAACAGCGTCATGAAGGTTACGGGAGATAACCTTGAATTTTTTTAATGGAAACCTCCATTTTTTATCACATCATCTTTTTCTACCAATTAATTTGAGCAACTTTTATCCGAAACACTTTTTATTTGCCTGATATTTTTTGAGATATTTAACTTGGTAACCTTTTCAACATTTAGCTCACGATATCTCGATAATTATTTGTTGGAAGAAGAAGCGGTACTAGACTCTTTTACTCTATTTGGTCTCAAAATTATGCTGCAGCAATAGTGGCCTAACTTTTGTTAGCTTGACGGCCTTTGGACATTTTAAAATCATCGGAGTTAACAAAAGTTAGGGCACTATTGCAACAGCATATTCTTGAGACCAAATAAAATAAAAAAGTCTAGTATCATATTTTTATAATAAGCTAAATATTGAAAGAATTAATTAAGTTTTTCTGAAATATCTCAAAAAATATTAGGCAAATAAAAAAATGTTTCAGACAAAAGTTGATGGAATTAATTGGTAGAAATAGATAATCCAAGTATCATATTTTTATAATAAGCTAAATATTGAAAGAATTAATTAAGTTTCTCTTAAATATCTCAAAAAATATTAGGCAAATAAAAAAATGTTTCAGACAAAAGTTGTTGGAATTAATTAGTAGAAATAGGTAATCCAAAGTGAATTCCTCGTAACCTTGACGCTGTTCAAGGTCATACTGGTATTGCTATATGATGCGTCATTTAAAATCCTATAATTTCTCTTATATTTGACTTTTTGTTCTATCTTGCATATTTTAAAAGTTATTCAGATGGCCTGTTTTAAGTTTTAGGTCACCTTGTATATAAATTACATAAAATTTTCGTCCATGTATGGTCACATATACGGGGTGTTTCAGAAATAGATAGCTGAACTTTAAGAGTATATTCTACTCAAAGACGAAAAAAAGTCGTGTAAACACAGGAATGCTTCTTTTTCGCGTTGTAAATACTTTTTATTAAGCACATTTCAGTCGCGTAGCTTGGCAGTTTCTGAATAATAATTTCATCAACATGATGGATTAACTAAGGAGGACCCATTGCTCGGCTTGCACGATCACCCGATTTAAACCCTTGGGGTTTTATTTATATGAGGACATCATAAGACTCTCGTTTGTGAGATTCTTGTTGCTACTGTTGAAATATTTCGAAATCGTATCATCGCTTCGTGTGGCAAAATATGAAATACCCCGGGAAGTCTTCTCGAGCGTCTTCAACGATCCACGAGACGTCGATGCGAGGTATGCATTGATGAGGAAGAAAATCATTTCCAACAATTTCTTTAACAAAATGTTCCTGATTTTTTTATTTGCCTAATATTTTTTTTAGATATTTAAGAAAAACTTGGTGACTCTTTAAATGTTACCTTATGATAAAAAAGTGGTCCTTTTTTACTTTATTTGGTCTCAAGAATATGCTGTTCCAAAGTCTGCTGTAAAGAAAAAGAGCTCAGAACTTGGAAGCATCTCTGGACTCATGTTTGTATGACTTTTTCATCCTTGTAGTGAGTAAAATATGTTCTTAAAGTTTGGCCGTCTATTCCCTCTGTATACATATCGCGTATAAATTGAGAAGTTAGGGTCTTGATGCACAGTTGCACCCTTCACACATTTGTCTACATTGAATAGTCGCCGATAAAATCTCAACATTTGTTAAAACCCACTAATCTTTTTTTTGTATATACATGTCGCGACTGTAGATTAATCAACCAATCTGTCACTTTTGACGGCTTCAAACGTTACATCGTGTTATATCATGCAACACCATATTGTACCCAGACAGAATATGTGCGATTAGACAAACTAGCGATCTTTGGCCTGAGATCAGTGTCGAGGCTTTATCGGGGGCTTAGTGGCGCAAGCAACACCTCGTTCGACATTACCTGCGTGTTTTCTCGTTGCCCGAGCAAGAGTGTAACGATTACAGCTCGTCGCCCGACATTTTTGTGTGCGCCATGCGCCATACGGTGGACACAAAAAGTCTGGACGAGCTGAAGAACGGACGCGAATATTTGCGCGTGTGTATCGTTGCTCCGCCCGACGGATACACACATTTTTACGAGTCCATTCGTACGAGGACGTCCTAACGAATGTGTCATCATCGTACGCGTAAAAGCGGCCGAGACGAATTTTCTGAGGTCCAGGATATTATCGAGAAGTGCGCTCTCCGATCGACCTTAGGATCAGGCGGCCGCTATTTTACCGATATTTGTATTTCCGCGGACTGCGCCTCTTGTCCTTGCTGTTGTGATACTGCGGACAAGCATATCCCTGGCGGCACAGCCTGGGTGGTCTTTTGCACGGCTCGGTCTTGTAATTGCTCAGTACGTAATTCGTGTCCTGCCACTTGGGGTCCTCGTTCATCAGGTTGCGCTCCTTGTCGAGTATGTTAGGCCCGTTGGACGAGGAGTTCGGGTCCGAGTCAGGGTTCTCCAACGCCTGGATCTCCTTAATGTCGTAGACGGGTGGGCGCAGGTCATGATTGCCGTGCGCAAAGGCGCAGTGCGGTCCATTTTTCACGCAGAACCCACGTGTATCGGTGTCGTGCACACACATGCACGTCTTGTAGTAACGCAGGTGGTAACGCCTTTCCGTATCCCCCGCGGTGCGATGCAGATATGGACACCTATTCGCAACAAGACATCTCATGATTGATCGGGCTCGCGCAAAGCGTCGCCAAGTTTCGGACTTTCAGGGGGAGTTCGAGCTGCAAATTTGCGGCATGAACAGGACGAGGATATATTGCAGGTTTATATCGGAGATTTATAAATGAAGCGAGCGAGACGTTGTCGCGAGTCAAGATCCTCCGCCGCGCGAGCAATAGGATTACTGCCGTGCACCTCCTGCGCAGCGTTCAAATCAGCTTCGATACGTTATGGTCCTTTGTTGTCATCGCGCGAAACACGCGGGAGAAAATCGATAGGAACGCGCGCGGCTCCTTTGTGCTCGGCCGGCGGGATTTAACGTAGCGGGATTTTGGAGAAATTCCGGACGAAAAATTACATCGCACGGTCGATACGAACGGCGTGACGAACGTCGCAGCCGTAAAAACAATTTATGGACAATTTACTTGGGATTATCGCACGGACGAGTATACCTCTCCGCGAGACACCTTTTGTGTTCGCGGGAGATATATTTAGACGCAATCTTTTTCGCAACTTTTTACTTAACAGCCGCTATAACAGCCGTAATATTCGAGTGATGTAATAGACGTTGGAACGAACTCAACTGTATGCATCGTTATTCTAGAAGAAAATTGTAAAATGCTCGAGCGGGGCACTCTTTATTAACCGAGCGGCGATAATTTATGCATAAAATACGATGCATAATGCAACGGAACGGTGTCACTGTTTCTGTCAGACACGTGCTCGCATATATAATTGATGTCACGTTTTAATGACTTTTACATATAAATAGCGCGAGTGTCGCTGTATCGAGACAAAAAACGATACGCATACATATAATTATATATTATTATGTATAATTTTGATATAATTTATGTACGTATTATATAATCATATCGCATTTTCTCCTCTTTAACACAATTTAGTTACTATATATATAAAAAAAAGATATATATATGTTTGTTTTTAATATATGTAATATATATATTGAAATATTTATTATTTATATTCATATTTATATTTTTATATTTATATATTTATTATTTATATTAAGTTTTAAAATTACTCATAATTTTATCAGTATCGAGATGTGTGTGTGTGTGTGTGTACACTCACACTCACACTTACGCACTCGCACTCGCGCGCGCGCGCGCACGCACGCACGCACGCACGCACGCACGCACGCACGCACACGCACACGCGCGCACACACACACACACACACACACACACACACATTTATTATATTCGATAAGTTATAAAATTACTTATAATTTTGATATATATATATATATAAATTATAAGTAATTTTATAACTTATCGAATATAATAAATATTTCAATATATGTAACATTACTCGTACAATTTTATTTATATCGAATTAATTATGTAAAATTAATCACGTAATTTAATTATATGAGCAATTTTATGCATATCAAATATAAATATAATATATTTTGATATGTACAAAATTGCTCATATAATCAAGTCATTGTTTAAAATATTATATATAAAATTATACGAGTAATTTTGTATATGTCAAATGTAAATATTTCGATACATATAAAATTGTACTCGCATAATTAAATTATTACTACGAAATATCGCCGCATTGTTTTTCTTCCTTTTTTTTTGGCAGGACATATACAGAGCGTCCCCGTATTTTAAACGAGCCAGACAAAAATCTCGAAAAATATAAAAGATACTAAGAAACGTTTCAGACAAAAGTTGTATAGTTACAAAGGAAACATGTAACAACTATATCATTTTGTTTACATATGACGCCACTTTCGAGATATTCACCGATCATTACTGTTCTTAAATGGTAATCCCAATTTTTGATTGCCATCTTTTTCTACCAACTTCATTTCAACGACTTTTGTCCAAGACATTTTTTTATGTACTTATTTTTTGGAAATATTTAAGAGAAACTTGGTAATTTTTTCAACTTACAATATCTCGCTAACTATTTGTCAAAGGAAAAAACGGTATTAGAATGTTTTACACTATTTGGTTGCAAGAATATGTCGTTACAATAGCGTCCTGACTTTTATTAATTTAATAATTTTTAAATTTCCAAAAATCAAGAAGTCAACAAAGGTTAGGGCACTTTTGTAACAATGTATATTCTTGAGACTAAATAGAGTCTATTTTTCTTTCAGCAAATAGTTAGCAAGATGTAAGTAAACGTTGAAAAAGTTATCAATTTTTCCATAAAAAAATAATAGGCAAATAAATAAATGTTTCAGAGAGAGAGAGAGAGAGAGAGAGAGAGAGAGAGAGAGAGAGAGAGAGAGAGAGAGAGAGAGAGAGAGAGAGAGAGAGAGAGGAGAAGAGAGAGAGAGAGAGAGAGAGAGAGAGAGAGAGAGAGAGAGAGTTAGAGAGACAGAGAGAGAGAGAGAGAGGGAGAGAGAGAGAGAGAGGGAGAGAGAGAGAGACAAAAGTTCTCCAAATTAACCGGTAGAAAAAGATGACGTGATAAAAAATTGGGGTTCCCATTTAAGAAGAGTAACGATCAGTAAATATCTCGAAAGTGGCGCCATCTGTAAACAAATGATAGAGCTGCTTTTTATCTGCCCCTTGAAACCACGCAACTTCTGTTTAGAAGGTTTTTCTTCCAAAATGCTTTTCCAGATATTTCGCCGTCCCGGTACTTTTTATACACCCTGTATGTATACATACATATATATATATATATATGTAACAGCGATATTTTGTAATAGTGGTCTAACGATATAAGCAATTTTGCGCGGAAAGCGCGACGCGTAAATCGAAGGAGCGGCGTGCAGCGACGTGGATGACAGCGGACGGCGTGAATTGCGTTTCCGCGTCCGAGGGAACTATATCGGCTGAAACGCGTCGCGACGTCACACACGCTGCTGCATCGTTGGACCTGAACCGCGTATTATGTACGTGTTACGGCACGTACGTGTCAATGACACGGAATGACGCCGCGCGTCGTATGACGGAGTAGCGCGCGTTTCTCCCTTTTTCTCCTTCTCTTTTTTTCCCCATATCTTTCCTCTCCCTGTCGAGAGTCCAGTTCGACCTCCTATTTCCGATCTTTCGTAATGAACATCAGCGCGTAGTCTCGAGAGAAGAAGACGTAGAAAGAGTAGAACGCGGGGGCCGAAGGCGGCGGAGGAGGAAGAGAAGGACAAGGAGGACGACGGGCAGGAGGCGCGGAGGGGATGGCAGGCGGGGAGAGGGGGGAGGAAAGCGGCGCAGAAGGAATGTCCCGTGCGGCGGTACTTTCATCGTGTGCGAGCGAGGCATCTCGCCGAGCGACGGTCTGTCGGACCGCGGGGGGGGGGGGGGAGGCGTCCCGCATAATTTCGCGCACGGCAAGAATACCGCGATTCGGCGATTCGCGAGGGAAAGGTGCAGCCCGACATGAGCCAAATATCACTGATATCAATGCGACGACGACGATGAAGTCGCCGAGTGTGCTCCTCGTGCACGCACTCGGCGGGCGACGGTTGTGAGGCGGCCATACGCAGTTCCGTGCGACGCGCTCGCGGCGGAGAAATCGTATCGACCGACGCGCAGGGCCACGGGGACAAATCTCCGCGCGCTTCTTCTTCCTCGCCCATGCCCGCCCCCGCGGCAATTACTCGGCCTCGGTCGAGAAAGGGGAAGGAAGCGTCGATGCGATTTTTCGAGAGCGCAGCGGCGTAGTAAATACGCGCGCGCGCGACCGTGCGTACGTGTGCGGGCGCACGCACGCACGCACGCACGCACGCACACATGCGCGCGCGCGCGATAGCAACGCTACGTGGTACGACCGCGCGCGACTATGTCCACCGCGTCCATCGGCGCGATGCCGCCCTCGCCGCTGTCGGAACGCACAATATGTATAGCCACACCGCGTTGTTCACTCACTTACGAAGAGCACCACCATGACCGCCGTACAGGCGTCGTGGTCGTGCGCGCGCGAGTCATCGAAAAATCGCACTGGGTCGCACGGCGCGGCAGAGGAAGGCAAAAGAGAGAGAGAGAGAGAGAGAGAGAGAGAGAGAGAGAGAGAGAGAGAGAGAGAGAGAGAGAGAGAGAAAGAGAGAGAGAGAGAGAGAGACAGGGAGCGGAGAAAAAATGAAAAGGCGACTTACTCGTCTCCATCGGG